GTTCTTGAGGACTCGACAACGGCGACAAGGACTCCATAATACAGGTTCATATATCTGATGCCAAGAAATGTCAGTTGTATCCTGCAGATCTCAGAATAGTCAGTTTTGAGAAATAGATCAGTAAACAATTAGTGAACTTTCACTACCAGAACAGCCAGGCGCACTATCCAAGAAAGTGGTCAAGATCTGAACCAGGCAATGCTCACCTTCTCAAAGGAACAAGGCTACCCAAGAAATAGAGAAATATAAAAGATGTGAAAATTTACCTTCCGTCAGTCACCATATCCAAGGACAGCTTACCTGTGGTCAGACTATCAGACCCAGTCAATTCTGGTCATGAGTTAATCGTTCTTCGCAGACAGGTGTTAGATGTCTACTAACAACTTTGTACATTGTGTTGGATCGTCCCTTAGCTATCAAACTCTGACGAGTATGTGCTCGATATTTCTTTGCTTTAGATCTTGACAAGGCAATAGACACTGTGTCCAAATCTTGACACCAGTGTGCTTATATACACGTTGTGCTTGATCATCAAGTTGTAATTAACCACAGTGCACGTAGAATGCACTGATGTAATGAGAAGGGAATCATATGCGCGAGTTCACTACGTCGTTCATCATAGATGACAAGAGGGGCCCAACTCTTGGTCAAGCTCTTTACCCATGATGACCTGATCCCGCCCCTGGATTTGTCAACTTAAAACAGAAAGTCCTTCGCAAGTAACATCGACTCACTCTGGAATTTGGAAAGAGTAACATCTCAAAGAAAAGTCCTGTTGCTGGGAAGCCCACCCAGGAATTAGGAGAGTAATTGACTCGTGAGGACCCCAACAAAGGCCTTGTCACATTGAATTCCAACGCAGTTGCCATCGGCTGCCTCAACATGAGCAACATGCCATGAGGCCTGTCATCAAAGCAGCGGTGACTGAACACGAGCAACATGTCATGAGGCCTGTCATCAAAGCAGCGGTGACTGAACACGAGCAACATGTCATGAGGCCTGTCATCAAAGCAGCGGTGACTGAACATGAGCAACATGTCATGAGGCCTGACATCAAAGCAGCGGTGACTCAAAGGAATCAGTTTAAAACCGCCAAACACCAGTCTCTGACAATGAAGTTATCACGTGTAGATCCTTGACTAATCACCCCAATAGCGAGACCAAAACTGTGAAATAATTGCTATTGGTGACTTTGTTACTTATATTATAAGCACAACATGGCTTGTTCTTGGAGTCGGTATTTTGGTATGTCGGAGGACTGTCTCTGGTGCATTGTACTCAAATTTGTGGGAAGAAAATTACGCACTACATTGTACTTAGTTTTGGTTGCTGTGCGTTACAAGGTTCTGTCCTTGTGATAAGTTGCGGTGGCCTTGATGATGTCCATGATGACCCATGTCTGAGCATGAGCATCATGAGCATCGATCCAAGCAATTTGGATGAGATGACATGCATCAACCATTAGTCCCGTTAGTCACCTCTAAGGACAAGCATGGGATGCTGAAGACCCGGATCTTCACGAGTCTATACTTCTAATGTAACAGTATTCTCACACGTCTTTTAATTTGTTCTCAAAGGGCAGAATAATTCCCATAACCTAGTGCAGTCGCCCCAGTGATGGTCTATTATAGTCGTGACTTTCATATATCTTTTGTGCACTTTGACCCCTGCTCACAGGGCAGAATAACATTCCATAAACAAGGGGGCAGTCTACCCCTTGAGGGTTTATTTGAACTGAATCATTTTTCAGTGTATTTTGTTAATCACTGACAGAGATCCTTCTGTTTGTCTTGTTCCAAAATAACTGTAGATGCATCAACATGGTTATTGAGCACCTAATTATATTGACTGTTTTTCCTGTTTAGAGCAAATGATTGAAACGCCATTACATGTAAGCATGGGTGAAACAAGAGCGTGAGTTCCGGCTGTGGGGTCTTTGCAATAACAAAATGCGCTCTGATCATCGATTACCGTTGTGGCGTCACAAATTTGGACAGTGGCGTAACCTAAGACAGGCTGAATTTTATGTGTTGAGGCCATCCGAAATGTATATGGTGATTTTTGTGCTTTGCTTCTTCTTAATAAGTAAATAAATGTTTGTGTTTATTGGTTTATTAAGTGAATCTCTGTGCGACCATCTGATATTGTGGGGGAGGGGGAGTGGCTGCTGGGATTTCGTATCGAGATTAGATATTTGTTCAGCTACAGCTACACACCAGATTTCCTTTTCATTTAAAACTATGGACCTTTTTAAAGAAATATACTTTCAACAATATAAGTATTATGGCAGGCAATTTCTTGTCATTTGAACAATCTGAAGCATAATTATTCTTTTCAAAGATTTTCGGGGACAATATATATTTTTTCAATAGAATTCCAGGTGCCCACCCCATCCCCATCCCCATCCCCATCCCCATCCCCACCCCCATGGGATAAGTTGTGTTACGATTCTGGGCATCGTGTACTGTTCATGCCAATATTACATTTGACACCGAACTATGGCTTTTATTGGTTTTTTATCAGCTTCGTGACAGACTACGCATTTCATAACAACGTTGTATGCAAAAGGTTTTGGGTACTTCTTCAAGTCACGTGCACGATTACATCAGACGACCTATTACAATTATTGACTGTCTCCGTGGTCTAGTGGTAGAGCGCCTGCCTGGAGAGTGGAAGGTCGGGGTTCGATTCTCGGCCGCGTCATACCAACAGACGTTAAGAGATGGTACTTGTTACTATCCTACCTGGCACTCGGTATTTGGGCACTGGTCGGCTCGGAGAGAGTATACTGTGTCTGAGTGGGGTATTCATGATAAGCTGCGGCATGGTATCTCAGTGGGCTAACACTATAAAATCGACATTAGTCCGGACTTGTACAAGCACACACACACACACACACACACACACACACACACACACACACGCACGCACGCACGCACGCACGCACGCACGCACGCACGCACACACACACATACACAAACACACACACACACACATACACACACACACACCACGTGCATGCACGTCGTTATAAAAGTTCAATATTCGTGAACGCGACGCTAAACCCCATTTCACTTCACCTATTAATTTAATTAAATCTTCATTAAAACACGATCGTTCTCAATGGGTCATCATGACTCGACATGGTTACTCAGAACCTTAATATGACTATTAACAATATTATTATCGAATCCATTTTAAATGTCTTCAACGTATGCTCTAGTTTGTATCGTGGGATCCTGCGAGGTTTCACTCGGATGTATCGTGGCGTGATCAGGTTTATCTGTTATAAGAATTAGTGTCCGTATTGGGAATTTCTGGATTCTGTGTGTCACAGAATTTGGCGTTTAATTTGTTTCAAAAACGGCTAATAATTTCAAACACGTATGCGATGATAAAACTAAATCTGAAATGCTTCTCCTTTTCAGGTTACAATTCTTTCCTAAAACGACCATAACAAATAAACAGATTAATGTTTTTTTAAGTAGTAGATCACCTTCTTGATCAGATTACCAACATCTGTACCGAATGCTGAAAGTATACAATAGTAATTTCATTAATAGGATGGTCAATTCTTTGGTCAAATGTTTGGGCCGAGACATTAAGACTTACCCAACTGTGCTACAAGACGAAACATTTCTAAAACGTTTTTCTTTATTTATAAGTAACATACTATCAGAACTATAGACGTAATGTTGAGTTTCAACAAGTTCAGGAAATACGCTGTCGTGTCACGGGAGTGTCTGGTCCATCACCTAACTGTCTAGTTGTTTACAGACCGACGTCATACAGCAGGATTGTAGTGAGACATCTGGCTTAGAAACACACAGTAGGACAGGACAAGCTTACCTGTGTCGCGAACACCTGGTGTCATCACTGATTTTCAGCGTGCTACTCCTACGAGGGATGATACAAAAATTGTTCTAAGCCTGATTAGTTTTCAACTATGGGCCATACCAAAATGAATTAGTCAATGTAGTACATTGTTTGAGTTTTGAAACTATTTTTCCTCAACATTTACAGATGAACAATATATCTGCTCGTCGGGTGCCAAAGTTTCTAAATTCTGATCTTAAGGGGAAAAAACGGACAGAGAATATTTAGAAGCAATTGAGCAGGATTTCGTCAAATTCAAAATGAGGAATAGAAACTGGTGATGAAACATGTGTCTTCCACTATGATCCCGAGTCAAAACGTTAATCCACGGAATGGCACCATTCCACTTCTCCGGCATTCAAGTCTTCAAGATCAGTGAAGAAAGTTATGGCCACTGTATTCTGAGATGCAAAGTGTGATTCTTGTTGATTACTTAGTAAGTCAAATGACGATTACCGGTGCCTACTATGCTGATTTGCTTTATCGCCTGAGAGATTCTATCAAAGAAGAGCGGTGATGAATGCTGACTGCTGGAGTTCTACTACTTCATGACAATGCCTCTTCTCAAACCTCTCGACTTGCAAAGGCTGCTGTGCGAAAACGTGGGTTTGAAGAGCTCCATACTCGTCAGACCTGGCTCCAAGTGATTCCAACTTGTTTCCTTAACGGAAAGGACACCTTCGTGGAAAGCACTATGACGACAACCCTGACCTCAAAGTTGCGGTCATTTGGTTTTTCGGGGTGGCTCTTTTTTTCTGACCAAAATTAAAAAGCTTCACCATCGATATGAGAAGTGTAATAAAAGGAGGGGGATATGTTGAAAAATAAAATTAAAATCATTTTTACAATAATTTTTTGTACTGTTTGTTAGGCTCTGAACTTTGTGAGCAGCCCTGGTATCATGTTCACCGCTATGTCGCCTTTTACGCCCAGTAGCATTTGTCTCGGTGGATAAGTAAGCTTGGTTATTCTCTGGCATCCGAGTTGTATATTCACAATAGAGACTAATCGTGTCGAACGTTTCCAAACATACTAAAATTAATAATGTCTTCCTAGTTTTCTTTCAACTAAATATGAAAGGTTAGTATCATTTAGCAAGGATTTGTTCTACAAAGACAATCAGAAACCCATATGTTGTTATTTATTATCTTCACTGTACATGTGTTTCACTTTACTTGACGCCGATCGTCAGGTAGGCCTCCATACAGGCACGGAGTTGTCTAGTGTGCTTGTCGTTCATGGTGATCTTTATGTGGTAATCGCCCTGGAAATAAACAGGGTGATTTTAAAATGTAAATATGGGAATATGCCCCAGCGCTGAACTATAGTGACGTCTCATAGATCACGAAAGGTAGCCGAAAGGTTATGCGCTTCGTTTCAATCTATTGTCAGTCTTTGATATAAAGAATACATTTACAATTAAAAGTTCTCAATTATTATATTGTCCAAGAAGTCTTGCCAAGATTCGGCATAATCCTTACTATCCAAGGCGTGAAATACCTGTACAAATGATCCTCAGGGACACATTTGTTTGTGAAACCAAATCACACGTTTGGTTAACAAACTTCACTTACGTCGGCCAAGAATTTCCAGGCATCACTGATGTTGGTGACGGTGAACTTGGAAGCAGGCATGTGGAGCTTGTCGGGGCTGAAGGGGCAGGTGCAGGGGAGGCCGTTGGCAGTCAGCTGGGCAGGACAGGTGCCCTGTTGTTTGAAGGCGCTCAGGAAGTGGCAGGGGTCGGTGTAGTGGCTGTGGGCAAATCATTACTATCTCAGATCGTTGCTTTTATCACAGTGTGAAACTTTAACCTATTTGTTTACATCAGAGCGGAAAATGTTATGCTTCGTACGAAGTGATGTAAATGTTTTTGTATTGAAATAACAACATACTATTTGGTCATTCGTCTTAATAATGTTCTATCATGAGAAATGTATTGACAAAGACTTGGTACCAGGAGGGGCGGTGCAACAACTCAAATACGATGTCAATGGGTGTGACCACAATTTGCGTTCATACAAGAGAAGCAGCAGCGATACACTGAAGACACCAGATGATTGAAAACAGCCAGAGGGATGTTACTCTTGAGTTCGCGTTACCCGCTAGTTCTGGTCCTGTCGTAAGCATCGTTCCATCTCATCCCTGACATGTTGTATGGGTCTCGAGAAACAGCTGGTCATGACAGTACAGCAATTTTATTCTGCCTCAAAAGTCTGTTACAAAACGTTCAATGTGTGGGCGGGCATTATCCTGCTGCCATGTGAAGTTATGTCCCTGCATTTGCTCAAAGGGTAGAATATGATCTCTGACCATGTCGTCCCGATAGCGTACACCATTTAAATGTCCATTAGCAACGATGAGTTGTGTTCTCCCATGAGTTGTGATACCACCCCATGCCATTACACTCCCATCCTCAAACAGACGACGTTGAGTAGCGCAAGCGTCGCTAAAACGTTCTCCAAGATGCACGTAGGCCCTTGCACGACCATCAGATGAAGATGAAACTTGAATAGCATGCCTGCCCAGTCTTGTCTTCTGAGCCTCGCTGTCGACACAAAGCTAGGCGTGCCTGACGATGACGTGGAGGCAAAATTCGGCAATAATAACTTACTCAGCACTTACCATGTGCTGACAACAAGCTTACTCAGAACGTGCCAACATCGGACTTGCAGGGCACTTACCACGTGCCAACGTCAGACTTGCAGGGCACTTACCACGTGCCAACATCTGACTTGCAGGGCACTTACCACGTGCCAACGTCAGACTTGCAGGGCACTTACCACGTGCCAACATCTGACTTTCTCAGCCCTTACCAAGTGCCAACATCAGACTTGCAGGGCACTTACCACGTGCCGACAACTGACTTTCCCAGCCCTTCCCATGTACCGGCATCAAACTTGCAGGGCACTTACCATGTGCCAACATGAGACTTGCAGGGCACTTACCACGTGCCAACATCAGACTTGCAGGGCACTTTGGTGAAACGTCCGAGCAGCGACTTCTCAAAGAGAACGTCCAGTGTGACCTGGTCTGCGAGTTTGTGGATGATGGTGCCATCAAGGGACACGGTCATATCTCCGGGAATCACAATGGGGCTGGGCTTGATGTCGAACTGCTTCACGGTAACCCAGGGGTCGCCCACACCTGACATGGAAGTACACATGACATAAATATCTCAAGGAAAAACCTAGCTTGCTTCAAACTAACTCCATGAACGTACATTGGACAAATAACATATATTCTCAGAAATGTCCACATACTATTTCGAGCCATGCCTTACAGTATATAGAATTAGATACGCTCACGTCCACATAATATTTCGAACCATGCCTTACAGTATATAGAATTAGATACACGCATATCCATATAACATTTCGAGCCATGTCTTACAGTTTATAGAATTAGATACACGCATTTCCACATAACATTTCGAGCCATACCTTACAGTATATGGAATTAGATACACGCATGTCCACATAACTTTTCGAGCCATGCCTAACAGTACATAGAACTAGATACACTCATGTCCACATAACTTTTGAGCCATGCCTTACAGTATAGAGAATTAGATACACTCATGTCATCATAACATTTCGAGCCATACCTAACAGTATATAGAACTATATACAATCATGGCCACATAACTTTTCGAGCCATGCCTTACAGTATATGGAATTAGATACACGCATGTCCACATAACATTTCGACCTATGCCTAACAGTACATAGAACTATATACAATCATGGCCACATAACATTTCGAGCCATGCCTTACAGTATATAGAATTAGATACACTCATGTCCACATAACATTTCGAGGCAAAGCTTACAGTATATAGAATTAGATACACTCATGTCCACATAACATTTCGAGCCATACCTTACAGTATATGGAATTAGATACACGCATGTCCACATAACATTTCGAACCATGCCTTACAGTATATAGCACTAGATACACTCATGTCATCATAACATTTCGAGCCATACCTTACAGTATAGAGAATTAGATACACTCATGTCCACATAACATTTCGAGGCAAAGCTTACAGTATAGAGAATTAGATACACTCATGTCCACATAACATTTCGAACCATGCCTTACAGTATATAGCACTAGATACACTCATGTCCACATAACATTTCGAGGCAAAGCTTACAGTATATAGAACTAGATACACTCATGTCCACATAACATTTCGAGCCATGCCTTACAGTATATAGCACTAGATACACTCATGTCATCATAACATTTCGACCTATGCCTTACAGTACATAGAACTATATACAATCATGTCCACATAACATTTCGAGCCATGCCTTACAGTACATAGAAATATTTACGATCATGTCCACATAACATACCGAGCCATGCCTTAGAGTATATATAATTAGATACACTCATGTCCACATAACATTTCGAGGCAAAGCTTACAGTATATAGAATTAGATACACTCATGGCCACATAACATTTCGAGCCATACCTTACAGTATAAAGATTCAGATAGGCTCGTATAGACTCGTTACGTGCCTAAAAGGATATATAGACTCAGATAGGTTCAGACATTGGTAGGCGATTAAAATCAACAAATTCTATCGATATCAACTTTGCATGTACGTGTGATTGATTTTAAATAGTTATCTTTCATCTGAATGATTTCAACAGATTCGGACTTTATTATGATACACCTGTTACCTCCTAGTCATCGTGTGTTGTGCCAACAAAGTCACGTCAAACGTTTTATACACCTGTTGGTTGATATGGTCTTTATCACTGCTTGGGAACCATCCCAATGATGTCTTTTCATGACGTATGATCAGAGTCTACAATATGCGAGTGAGTGAGTGAAGTGAGTTTAGTGCCCCTTTGAACACTATTTCATTTATATGACGGCGTGTCATCTTGATGTGGAGGAAAGCCCGACGGACTACATTTTTTAAAGTTTGGACTTTAGAGAACACATCACATGGATGTGGTGCAGACAAACCTAGAATCGTATTCATGGCGAATTTGGGAATCGAACCTCCAACTATGTAGGATGTGTTCTCGACGCTGTAGTGTTGACATTGCCAAGTTAAAATATTAATTTACTCAATCAATTTACATACCACAGTCCCTCCACTCTAGTGTGCCTGTGGATGTGAATCCTGGGCGGACCCCCAGGGCAGGAACGATAAGAGCTACGACCAACAGCAACATGATAAACCTTAGCTGACCGAGTAGAGCCAGACACTGACTGGCAACCTGTATATACACTCCGATAGCGAGGTCGAGTCCACGTGACCACAGGGGCGATACCAGGGGGTCGTCGGACCAGGTTGCCAGAGTTGACACGTTCTGAATACATCACTGACGTCTAAATCATACCAAGTTCACAGATGCCCTGGTTGTCAAGCAGTAGATGGTATCTGCTTTGGGAGGCATTCATTGCAGGAGCTGGAATACTTTCGTTGCATACCTGGGACGTCAGTCGGCCACTCTGGGACTCAACACATGGTGGATTAAATGCTGTCTTCTGGATTATGTTACAACATAAAGATGGCGGTGAATGGACGCAAATAGAAAAAGGACGTTTGTTTGTACGTTTCCTTAATGTTGTAACTGCTGCAGCAAGGCAAAGCGTTGAAAGTGTATATTATGCACCACCCACCTTTTCAAAAAGACTAGAGTGGTTGTTTGTTTGGAACAAGACAAAATAGCAGAAAACAAAAACAACACCTGGTACTACCCTCACACAGCCTGGCACTACCCTCACACAGCCTGGCACTACCATTACACAGTCTGGCGCAACCCTCACACAGCCTGGCACTACCCTCACACAGCCTGGCACTACCATCACACAGCCTGGCACTACCCTCACATAGCCTGGCACAACCATCACACAGCCTGGCACAACCATCACACAGCCTGGCACAACCATCACACAGCCTGGCACAACCATCACACAGCCTGGCACTACCCTCACACAGCCTGGCACAACCATCACACAGCCTGGCACTACCATCACACAGGCTGCCACTACCCTCACACAGGCTGGCACTACCATCACACAGACTGGCACTACCATCACACAGCCTGGCACTACCCTCACACATGCTGCCACTACCATCGCACAGCCTGGCACTACCCTCACACAGGCTGCCACAACCCACACACAGGCTGGCACTACCATCACACAGCCTGGCACTACCATCACACAGGCTGCCACAACCCACACACAGGCTGGCACTATCATCACACAGCCTGACACTACCATATTGTCCATATTAACTCATTGGTAGTCAAAGTCTACTAACATGTTGGTGTCTTGAGTGGACAGTGATATTACTAACTATTTCTGTCAGTGTGGGAAGCCTAGCGGTTAAAGCGCTGTCTCTCTCTCGTAGACCAGAATTCTGTTCCCCAATTAGGGAAGCTCACTCACTGTAGAGCCCGTAGATATCCGGGTTAGAATAGGTCTTCAGCAACCCTAATTGCCGTTAATAGGCAACTATGCTTGTCGTAAGTGTGGACGAACGGGATCGGGTGGTCAGGCTCGCTGACTTTGTTGAAGCATGTCATCTTATCCCAATTGCGTGGGTGGATCCTCGCGATGTCAATCACTGGATTGTCTGGTATTTACAGACCGCTGTCATGTAGCTGGAATATTGCTGAGTGCGGCGTTAAACAAGAAACAAACAAACCAACTCACCGTACGTGTTGGTGTGCTGACATCGTATCATAAGCTACATAAACTATAGACTGATTCAGCACAGTCAAACATATCATTCAGGGGTTACATATTCACCAGATGGCGAATTGTCAGTGCCGAAGTGCATCAAGGAAATTATAAGCAACACTTTATAATTATCTGAAGCATGGCTTTAGTGGTCGGAATTGTCTGATGAGCTGGGGCGGTCGGGTAGCCTAGCGGTTAAAGCGTTCGCTAGTCACGCCGAAGACCCGGGTTCGATTCCAGACATGGGTACAATGTGTGAAGCCGTGATATTGCTGGAATATTGCTAAAAGCGGCGTAAAACCATACTCACTCACTCACTCACTCACTCTGATGAGCTATAGCGAACCGTGGTTCTATGAACACATGCTGGAATGTCACTCACTCACTCACTCACTCTGATGAGCTATAGAGAACCGTGGTTCTATGAACACATGCTGGAATGTCACTCACTCACTCACTCTGATGAGCTATAGAGAACCGTGGTTCTATGAACACATGCTTGAATGTCACTCACTCACTCACTCACTCACTCTGATGAGCTATAGAGAACCGTGGTTCTATGAACACATGCTGGAATGTCACTCACTCACTCACTCACTCACTCACTCACTCACTCTGATGAGCTATAGAGAACCGTGGTTCTATGAACACATGCTGGAATGTCACTCACTCACTCACTCTGATGAGCTATAGAGAACCGTGGTTCTATGAACACATGCTGGAATGTCACTCACTCACTCACTCACTCACTCACTCACTCACTCTGATGAGCTATAGAGAACCGTGGTTCTATGAACACATGCTGGAATGTCACTCACTCACTCACTCACTCTGATGAGCTATAGAGAACCGTGGTTCTATGAACACATGCTGGAATGTCACTCACTCACTCACTCACTCTGATGAGCTATAGAGAACCGTGGTTCTATGAACACATGCTGGAATGTCACTCACTCACTCACTCACTCACTCACTCACTCTGATGAGCTATAGAGAACCGTGGTTCTATGAACACATGCTGGAATGTCACTCACTCACTCACTCTGATGAGCTATAGAGAACCGTGGTGCTATGAACACATGCTGGAATGTCACTCACTCACTCACTCACTCACTCACTCACTCACTCTGATGATCTATAGAGAACCGTGGTTCTATGAACACATGCTGGAATGTCACTCACTCACTCACTCTGATGAGCTATAGAGAACCGTGGTTCTATGAACACATGCTGGAATGTCACTCACTCACTCACTCACTCACTCACTCTGATGAGCTATAGAGAACCGTGGTTCTATGAACACATGCTGGAAGGTCTCTACTTCAGCGTTATCTCACTGTATTGGTCACCTAAATACAATTCCCATAAAATGAGCCGGTGTCTTCTTTTATCAGTCGACGCCTAGATGTTCAAATGCTGACCTGTGTGATCTGTTTGACCTATATAACGGCATGTGCCAACTGACAGAGATTGCAGACAGTGCCAAAGTCCATACAACAATAAATCAATACATTAAACACCAGTCACAGTGTCAATAAAAACACACACTTTCTAGTCCGTAGCCAGCGAGACTTGTCTGACAAGTATTTCAGTGTGACCTCAGATTGGTGAGTGAGAGTTTGTCATTTCACCTCCTCCTGTCAAGCTCCTGTCAAGGAATTTTATCAGCACAGCCTGATAACATGCAGATTGAATGATCACTCCCTGTATCCATCATCCCCAGCTTAAGGATTGCACAGCACAGATTACCGTTGCTGATGATTAGCGAGACAATATATAAATATACACATGCACATTAATTAAGCACCACCTGATACAAAATCCAATTCTGAAAATTACTGAGAAATGACGAAACAACGCATGTTGTATAACTTTACCGGCGCCCAGTGATAGCTAGAGAGTGAGTGACTATGGTTTTACGCCGCTTTTAGCAATATTCCAGCAATATCACGGCGGGGGACACCAGAAATGGGCTTCACACAATGTACCCATGTCGGGAATCGAACCCAGGTCTTCGGCGTGATGAGCGAACGCTTGAACCACTTGGCTACCCGACCGCCCCTGATAGCTAGAGACCCTCCAGTTTAAAACCTGAATGAACTGCCCCAGGCACTGCTCCAGGAATGGCAAAAGATCATAATGTTGAACTTCAGACGTCTGATCAGCAACATGAGGAGATGCTTCGCGAATGTCATCCGTGGGAGGGAGGGATGCTCCAGATTCGGATCACAGAGTCAGTGGTAATTCCTGGGTTGGCAATAATCGTTTTCACAGCACAATGTGACACCCCGATTCGTGGTGTGGGCTGATACTTTTCGGAGCTGCTGAATGAACATTTTCAGACTTCTTCGCACGACGCCAGTAGTTGTGTGCTGCGGTCTGGGACCGCTCCTGGCTTCTGATTGGTCGAGAGGATCTGTGACGTCACATCCGGTTTCGGTTTGGTCACGTGACTGCGCATGCGCACAGGGCATGAGGGGTCCTGCGTGCGCATCCAAGATGGCGTCGCATCCGTTTCCGGTGGCGCACGCCTCCAAGATGGCGGCACATCCGTTTCCGGTGGCGTGCGCACCCAAGATGGCGGCGCATCCGTGTCCGGTGGCGCGCGCCTTCAAGATGGCGTCGCCTCCGTGTCCGGGGAGGAGGGATGGGGAAAAACCCAGAGAAACGGTCGTACAAGGTGAACAAGAAAAGAGTTTTGTTGTTGTTGTTGTTCTTGTGTTGTTCTAAAAATAGAAATAGAAAAGGTGGTAGTGGTGCAGGGAGGGTGGTGGTGAAGGGAGGAGGGAGGGATTCAGGGAGGGAGGGAGGGAGGCGGGAAGGGAGTCGGGTTCTTTGTTTTGTTTTGTTTTGGTGGGTGGGTGGGTGGCGATGGCATGTGGAGATGATAGCTCACTGAGACGAGCTTATCATACACAGTCGACGACTCTGCCACTTTGTTGCTAGGTTGACGTCATATCGGCGAAGGATCTTGCAACAACATGTCACAAATCATGTCATCGGGTATGGTGATGTGTTTGTCAACTTTGAGGTGTAAGGTTTCGTTCCACAAGGCGATCGTGTATTGTAGCCCACGATGACAGCCGTTCGTCTAAGTTAAAAGTCGGGGAGTGGCGAATTTAAAGGGGCTCAAGGTGTTGGCTGAATTCTAACGGTGAATCGACAGGCACAGACATGAACGTGTTGTAGGTATATGTCTACGTGAAGCACTTCGTGTCACCCCCCATGCAAGCGTGGTGCCACGCGTGACGACAAACAGACGTTGACGTTGATCCATAGGATGATTATTATCATTTATTTATTCACGATACCGAGGTGGTGGCACTCGTGTCGGTTGACAGGTGTACTGTCGTTCGTGTTGCCAGGCACCCGTAGTGTTTCACGCGTGTTGCCAGGCTAAACGTTGTGTCCTCTGTGTGTGTGTGTGTGTGTGTGTGTGTGTGTGTGTGTGTGTGTGTGTGTGTTCAAACAGACGTTGACGTTGATCCATAGGATGAACATTATTATGAATGACGCCGAGGAGTCGGTACTCGTGTAGGTCGACAGGCGTACTGTCATTCGTGTCTCCATGCACACGTCATGTACGTCGTGTGTTGTCATGCAAAACGTCATGTACTTCATGTTGCCATGCAATCGTGATGTCATGCGTGTGTGTCTTCAAACACACGTTGATCCACAGGAGTATTGATCCTATTTTGTATTTTATAAGGAGAGAGAGAGACCGATAGACATACGTGGTGTTTGACTCGTGTCTCCAGGCACCCGTGGTGTTTCACGCGTCTCTATTTCTATATATTTATTTTATCATTTGGAGACGTACCATGGTGGTGTCACGCGTAGGCGTGTGCCTCCAAGAGGACGAGGGGGTGGGTGTGGGTTCTTTTGGATGGTTGTTGTTTGGGTTGGCAAAGCAAGCAGGGTGGGTGTCGATTAGTCAGAACACCATGTGGATTCCATCATGTCTTACTTCTCTTTTATCTTTCTCTTCTTCACTTTGGTGTGCACTGACATGAAAGACGCACGGACAGACAACGTAGACGACATCTCAACTCAACCTCTACCCTCGGTTCGGCATTCTACTGGAGTTGAGATCCATCAAGACACAAAGAGTCAGTTCAATTTATCCCTGTTTAATAATGAACAACAACTTAGATACAGACAAACAAGGTGAAATGATGCGAATAATGCGAATAATGCGAAAAAGTGGATGACCACCTTCGTCATCGTCATCACACAGGTAGCCTGCTCAATGTTGCAACGAGTGCTTCTGTGGCTGCTGCTTCTGTTGGTGAAGGTGTTGCTACTGGTGCTTCTATGGCTGTGGGGGTGGTGTCTGCCACTGTTGGTGCCACTGATGCTACCATTGCTGTTACCACTGGTTTTGGTGTGGG